TGACTTGGCAGTAACTGTAAAATTCCGAATTGAACTCGATTGAGATGGGATTATTTTTATTATAGGATATTATCGATTGAAGAACGATTAAAAAGTTTAGCGAGCGATAAACAATAATCTTTTTTCTACCTTACAACTATTCAAAAAATGTGAACCCACTATCAAACACATAAGATCACTAGGTGCACAAAAGTATTATAAGCACCATTCGCATGATACGCTCAGGAGCTCATTATGAAACATTAAGCAACGGATTCAGTGAATCTCAGGTTTACGTACTCAGCTTTGTGTCATGCTGTTCGGATAGGAACTAAAGATATTACTCTGATGGTGATATGTTCGTACACCAAGACACAATTTCGCAACTCCCACTTCAATACAGTGAACGAGACTACTCCTATCTTCACTGTCCCGCTAACCACAGTATGAAGTCCAGTTTCGTAATTAAAGCTTTGTGGATGATGGCCCCAGAAGAATTAAAAATACACATAAGTTAATCCGTTACATTATTCACTCAGTCAGTCAGCTACAACGTAGGACCAGGCACATATATGCATCGGTCCAAGTTGCCACACCTCGTTATCACAACAAAATGTACACCGAATTCATAGAAGTAGTTAATTTAGCGGTGTTAATATATAAAAGAAAAGTTGTTTATAAGGATATAGTACAGAAAGGAAGACAGATATGAAGCAATTTTAATCTCAAGGTTTAAGGGAAGATAATGAAAGTTGATCTTACATTTTTCCTCACAGGTTGTAATTAGGAGTTTCGCATCCCCAACAGCTGGTCAAACTATGATAGGTGTTGTGCTATTTAAACCTGAGACCTAATATTTAAGTAAAAAGCCATAGTTTTACAACAAGCGTTCTTATCGTACAAATCTCTGTTACTAGAATTTGACGTAGTTTAAAAAGGGGAGCATGTGGTGAAACAAAATGCACATAACTTTAGTTAAAAGCAAAAAAGAGTTTTACATCCATAGTTTAGTAGATGAAGTTCAACTACCAGTTTCCAACGCTACCACGTATGGTAGATGGATTACAACTTTTAATCTTAAACTAAAATATAGGTGTTTAGTACCTTTACAAGTTATTTTTCACCATAGTACTAAATTTGTATGAACATTACGGAATTAATAGTTAACACAAATGAAAATAATACCAGTTGTACAAAAGAGAAGTGCCAAGTTATTCATAAGGACAAGCAAAAATGGGAGAATTAGTAGAAAGTCCTGAGGGAAAAAACAATTGATGTCATTTTGATGTTGTAAACTTGTATGATATTGTAAGCAATCATTAAGAAACAATGCTGAGTTACTTAGTCTGCCCAGAGGTTGCGATGCGGACGTGATCGACAGAATTCAATCATCACTAAAGTCGAAGTAAAACTATATGGACTACCATTCGTTGACTGATTAGTGTAAATTTGTATGGTTTTTATCTCTAAATCAATAGTTTCAATCTATCTTACTGAATGATAAATATGGAGAAATGACAATTAATTACTCAGTAGATTTCAAATGTGACTGATATCTTGATGCTGTGATTGAGATTGTTTATCATGATCAATTAATGTAGTTATTTTGGTGGAATCTTCATTGGTTTAGGTCCAGCCTTAACAAGAAGGTAGGTTGGGAGTGTTAAGAACATAAGGAGCAAATATAATATCCGAGACAGAAATTTTACTGTCGACTGTGATGGAATTCATGTTTTAAGTGGTATCAACTGTCTCCAAAGATGACGTTTTTTCAGGAAGAAAGAATGTGTAGAAAGTGTTAGGCCCAGAATGGCACGCTCACCACCGACTTCTAACCGCGGTGGAAAATATCATCAACTATTCAACTGTATCAAATAAGAAAACTTCAATCTTCGGCAATCTTTTAGCAGTACTCGAATTAATCTCAACCGCCAACGTAGACTATTCTTGGGAAATAGTTTGAAATATTGGTTGTACAAGTTGATCTTCTTAGTTTGATCATATTCCTTCCAGAATCCCACTTGATTTTAAGTACATGTGCATTGATGTAGTTTAAGATCGGGTTTCTTATTAGTAAGGTCATTTTCTCGTGCTATTTCTGTCAGGAAATTAATTCCAAGTAAATATTAGCAATTCAGATATAACAAACAATTTTAAAATGTCGACAATGCGACCAGATACTAGCATATTCTTCAGTGAAATGCCTGAAGAATATCCCGACAATTTATCTACCCAAGCGCCCCCAAATGCCCTGGTACGGCCGAGAGTGGGGACAGTCAGCTCTCCCTCTCCAAATGCTCTCACATGGTCACGCGAATATATAGCCTCTGTCAGGGAAGTCCTACTCACTGCCTTCTCGTGGCATTAATGTCGTTTACGAAATTGAGAGGACGTAAAGCGAATGTCCGGCGCTTTAACCGGGTTGGTGGACATGGAAAGTTTACCTAGGGGAGTTGAAAATCCCTGATTCCAAACCAATGGTGCACATGGGCTCCAGTATCCTGAAGGAACAAATGGCGTATGAACCAATTGTTGGTCACCGGCTACCATGGGACTGCATCTCCTCACGATGCTCCACTGCCTTGTGGACTAGACCTTCAGGTCAAAGGCTCGGGGTGTGGCCGCTTAAGAAAACCACCTGCTTTGGTCTGGGCACCTGGACAGTATCACAGCCCTCACACAAATAAAATAAGATTTGCGAGGCGCATATTTATTTGGTGCTTCCTCGTACAAATATTACCGTGTTTAAATAAATAAATAAATAATCTATCCAAGCCATAAACTTAATATTCATTTTAATGAACTGTGTATTGACAATATTTGTAGTACGCTTCAACTACATTTATTTAAGATGTGAGGCTTAAAACCAGGTAAATACACCTGTGTTTGGCAAGAAAGTAACAAAACTGTTGATTGGGCAATCCTGAGTCTAAACTCCATCCTAGCGCGTTGACAGTAGCGATTTTAAACTATATGCATATGTAAAGAACGAAGTTTATTTATTCATTGAAAAGAACGAAATTTCAGCGAAGAAAATGTTCGATGATACCATTTTCTGAAGCTATACAATCGTATTTATAGGTAATTTTTAAATGCAATAGTCTATATTAAAATAGAGGGGTTTACAAAATTATCAAGTATAGTCAAGCTTATTCAAGTGGAGGTCGATCAAAATGAAATGGTGTTGTATATTATAGTCGAGATTGTCAACAGTCTTCAAGTATTTCATGTTATGATTTATAAATGTGTGTTATTTCAATATAATTAAGGTTTTCAAGAACTGAATAAAAAAAGGTGCATCATTTAAAAAAGTAATTACTGATCATGAAGAGCTTATATTACTTAATAGTTTTAGAAGTGATAAAAGGTAATAATATGTGGAATAAAAGATATAGATAATTGTCTATCTAATAAAGGAGAGAAAAGTAATAATTAGCAATCATAATTTGTAAATTTTGAAAGGGTTCTAAGACCATGGGATAAAAAAGGATTGAACTTAGCTCTTATGGAAACAGAGTTCGGGTTTGAAACAGTGAATTGCTATAGCCTTGAGTGCACATAACTTACTTATCCAAACCTTTTCTAAGCCAGTTCTTTTTACTTTGTAGAGTATTTTGAACATAAATTCGAGTGGTGGGTGTGACTTGAATTGACCATGTATTCAAGAATTGAGCTACTGATTGATTTACATATCTTTTTAAGTAGCCATGAAGAGTAGTGCTCGGATATTCGTTTACCAAGTGCACGCTTTGTAAGACCAATGTAAAGTTGTGAATCGAGAAGTGAAATTCGACAAAAAAGTTTCTTTCTTGATACATTGACATTGGTTATTGAGTTTACGAAATAGGAGTCTGAAGCGCTATGTTTGCAGATATGACTTCTGACCGGTTGTATAATTCCCATCATCCATTTGGCAATAGCTTAGTATGAGGAATTACTCATACCCATTATCGGACGAGGCGGTAGATCTTTATTAAGTACCTTCGAGAGTCCATACAATCATAGGATAAAGGAACCCGATGGCCATAATGCCCGAATAGGTCGCCATCGATGACTGGTTCATTTTTTATCTTTTCTGGTTTTGTGGTCAACTTTAGTTTAATTTGATCGATGGCATATTTTTCTCTTTGGTTCTTTAGGAAACTTATCTTCATCATTAAGAATTGAGGATAATTTGTTAATATAGTCCTTTCGGTCCGTAAGAACAATCCCAGCACCTTTGTCTAGACACGGTAATGACAATTTCTTATTCTTTGAAAGATCGTTTAGTTGAGATTTACGCTGCTTAGACAGAAAACGCTTCATTGAGGCTTTTATGTTGACGTTTCATAGCAGCGATTATCGATCGTTGATTTGAATTTCTTGAAATGACTTTTAGAAACTGAGGTTAAGTCGTGTGTTTGTTTAATAAAAATTTCAAATTGCTTTCGTCAATGTTCGTAGAAGTATCACATTGAAACATAACACATTTATAAATCATAACATGAAATACTTGAAGACTGTTGACAATCTCGACTATAATATACAACACCATTTCATTTTGATCGACCTCCACTTGAATAAGCTTGATTATATTTGATAATTTTGTAAACCCTTCTATTTTATTATAGACTACTGCATTTAAAAATTACCCATAAATACGATTGTATAGCTTCAGGAAATGGTATCATCGAAAATAAAATTTTCTTCGCTGAAACTTCATTCTTTCTACATGTATTTCTTGCAATAAACTTAGGTTGTAAAAACGCGTGTTGTAACTAGTTATCTTTGATTTCATGTCACAAGCTTATCTAGCCAACAAGTAAAGGTTCCAAATCGTACTATGTGTGATAAACCAGGCGTATTACATAAAATAAGCTGAGGTTTGTACAACCAGGATATATTTTAAAAATATCGCTACGCAAATAAATAACACGAAACAAAAAAAGACGAACACACATGATAGAAAATGTTAGTAGCATTTCATTTTGCTACATTCAAGATTCGAAACGTGTCTTAATACCGCAAAATATATTACCTACCTGATTATCTGGCTGACGCCATCCTACGATACGATAAGCATCTAAACCTTTTTGTTGTAAAATTTGAACCCATGAAAGTGAGCGTGTCCCACCACTTGGTAGCCATATTCGATCTTCAGTGTTAAACTGTAAAACATACGCTTGAACTGAGGCGACTGGCGATTCTCTACAGTAAAACGGTAAAGGACATTTCTACACATAATAAACCATGAATTAACTTCGAAAACAACTTTTTATAATCCAAGACAAATACTATTATTGGACTTATACATAAAACGAATGACGAATGCCTAAAACGTGTGATAAGATTACGAGTTGCATGCAAATAAACATGATAAATTTTAGTAACTTGGGAACTGGAGATTCCTGATAGATCTTATCCGTAATCATGATAAGAAATAACTGGCCATGAGCATCTGTATTACTCTAAGAATCGGAACAATATCTTCATAAGCAAAGCACTTACTTTTCCACTCTACTTGGCGATGGAAACATTCACTAAGGGAACTATGTTATATAAATCAAGCCTAAAGTATGGCCTCGATGCACACTACATGTATAGAAAATAATGAATATTAGGAAATCTTTATCTCAGGCTAAAGACGGAGATGCTTTGTTTTAGTGCCCCAGTTAACAATTGGATGATTATAATCTTAGATGCACACCAACTTGCGGAGACCCTTGAATCGACTCCACTTACAAGTCAGTTTGTTGATATGGATATGATTAAGTTTACTTAGTATGGAAAATTCACAAATGAACGCAATTAAACTAATTTTAGTGAATTCAGTGAAACCAGAAATTTACTTACTTCAACTCCCTGACTGAAGACATTAGATATGCATTTATATTCTTGGACGCTGATATACAGAGATTGATGACTTCAAAGAAATGAGGCTATAGTCAGTCTAGTCAGAAACGTGCCAATGCCTCTCTATTTATGCTTAATTTTATGACGCAATGTTCCTTTTGTTTGTTTTTATTTCCGCTCCTTCAGTTGCTTGCGTAAACGTTTTAGATTTCACGTTAATCTAAAATTGGTGTCACAGAAAAGGGCATAGGATTAAAATTAATAGTTAGGAGCAAAACAACAAATTAGTTACTGGGAACAAACTGATCACATTAGAAAAAGAAGAAAATTTGAAGGGACTAATTACATGTACGTAGTTTGTTAGATGACCCTGAGATGTAAACCTCCCACCATTATACAAGCGGCTTTAGATATATTAGCTTCAATTTTTAACACCACATGGAGATATGCACAAGGTCAGAATCAGTGCTTACTATTAACAGGTATTATAATAATAAACTGTTTCCGTAAACCCAATTTGTTATACTTGTTGCAGTCCTGAACTCTAGTATTCCATGTGAATCATAGAGCTAGAGTGAAAGCTTTAATATAGATGCTTTACGTTTTTATTGAATCTTTTAAATATGGATAGGGATACCAATAACATTATGTATCTAATAATTGAAAACCATCAACCCTAGACTATGAATGTTAAAAGTAAGTGATCTACTACCAAACAGTCTAGCTTGTAAGGCCTGTGAAATGTCACTGGGTCGTAGCCAAATCACCCAGCAGTCAGATCACTGTGATGATACAACGGATGTTCTAGTTTTACAACTAGCTACCAGTAGCACCTTCTATATTTGATCGCTCCCAGTCAGATAGAAATCAGAAATCAGACGAGAAGAGGCAGGAAAGATATATTTGATTCGTTACCAATATATCGAGGACCTTTTCTATAAGCTGGCTAATGAAACGTAGGAGCTGTGTCCCACGCCGTGTTGAAACGTGATCTGGTGCGGATGCATGACCGAAAGCCTTCAGCTAAACAAGTCCACTTAAACAACGTGGTCAGCATCCAATGTCGAACACTTAATGAGCTATTGATTTTGGGGAATTATTTACAGCTACAGATCACTCCCCCCTAGTGAGGTAGTGATGCCCCTAAGACGTGACCAGCCAGAAGTTGAAACCCAACGAGTTTGTCGTTGGTAAACACTCTTCTGATAGCTTGCTTCGTTTAGCAGCGTCTGGTCGTCTTTCCTTAAACTATGGGACCAAAATGTACAACATAGCAATCAAGAAATATAGTACAATGAAAATTTCGGTTCCTTGCGAAACTTCGTCGTTCTTTTCCAGCCGTCCTGGAAAAGAGGAAAAATAAAACGTGAGTGCATGTCAAAAATACACTCGTACTTGCGTAAGGACACAAGATGAGCGGAAAAAATAAACTGATACACTTACAAACAGCGTAAAAGCGATCGGAAAAAAATGGTTTGTTAAAGGGGTTTTTTTATATAAAAAGTATATATATATACGCTCAAAAAAAATAATAAAAATGTTTTGTTTTTTTTGTTTTGTTTTTTTTATAAATAAAAAAAATGAGCATATTAAAAAAAATTTATAATAAACAATGAAGGGGTAATTCAAGATAAAGCTTATGTCCTACGTGCAATATTCGTTAAGATGTTCTGGAAATCTTACTCGTCTTCCAGAACGCGTTGTTTTAGGTTTTTCTATCAACGTTGACGAAGTATCAAGTTGTGTGTCGGTTGTCGTGTAGGGTACTACGAGTGTAGTGGCTGTGTCGTTTGCTTGCACCGAAGGAAAATCGACGTAGCTAGGGTTTCCTTCTAGGTACGCAGCTTTGAGTCGATCGATACTGATGCTATCTTTCGTACCGTTCTTATCTACTACATAGTACTTAAGTTCGCGTTGAAGAACTTTGAAGGGTCCTTCGTATGCTGATTCGAGGGGTCGTCCATGTGAGTCTCAACGAACGAAGACGTGTGTACTATGTCGTAAGTCAGGTTGAACGAAAACATCAGTTGATTGAGGTCGAGTGTGAGCAGGTTTAACTAAACGCACAGCGTTTGAAAGCCTACTCGTGTAAGAGTTTAGATCCATGTTCAATGAAGAAGCTGAAGGATCCACGAATTCTCCTGGGAGTCGGAGTGTCGTTCCGTAAACGAGTTGAGATGCCGTGTATCCAATGTCAGCTTTCACTGCATTGCGGATACCTAGCAAGACGAGTGGAAGAGCGTCTGTCCACTGTGAAACGTTTGCAGCTGATAATGAAGCTTTTAGTTGTCGATGAAAACGTTCTACCAACCCGTTTGCTTGTGGGTGGTAGGCGGTCGTTCGGAAGCGCGTGATTCCTAATAGTGAGGTCAGACAACGGAAAAGTCCAGATTCGAACTGGCGTCCGCGGTCTGTAGTGATTGTGGAAGGGCAGCCGAAATTTGCTACCCATCGTTCGACGAAAGTGCGAGCCACTGTTTCAGCAGTAATGTCCTTAATCGGTACTACTTCTTGCCATCGAGTAAAACGGTCTACGCATGTTAGGAGATATGAGTATCCGTTCGAGTCGGGTAAGGGTCCTACCAAATCTAGATGGACGTGGTCGAAACGAGAGTCAGGGGTTTTGAAAGAGCCTAAGGGACATTTGTTGTGTCTGATCACCTTAGATTTCTGGCAGCTTACACAGGAGCGTGCCCACTCCCTCACGTCTTTATTCATGCCAGGCCAACGAAAGCGTTCGGCTATAAGTTCGATTGTTGCACGAGCACCTGGATGAGAAAGATTGTGCAACGTATTGAAGACGTTGAGGCGATAATGTTTTGGTACAATTGGACGATCCCTATCTGTAGATGTGTCACAGAGTAAGGTTTCCTTACCTGTCCCTATCTGCCTAATACGAAGTTTTAGAGCTGTCGATGATAACTCATACTGAAGATCAATGTCTTCTTTTTGAAGCTGAGCGAGTTTAAGAAGGTCGATTCCTTGGAAACTGTTCAAGGAGCTAATTCGAGACAAGGCGTCTGCGACTACATTGTTAGATCCAGAAATGTGTTGTATGTCTGAAGTAAACTGCGAAATGTAGTCGAGTTGTCGAGACTCTCGCGGTGAGTACTTGTCTGAAGATGAATTTAAAGAGAAGGTAAGAGGTTTGTGATCGGTAAAAAGCGTGAATTCTCTTCCTTCGATGGAATGTTGAAAATGCCGTACAGCACAATACATAGCTAGGAGTTCCCTACCGAACGTGCTGTACCTAGATTCCGCATCTAGCAACCGTCTCGAGAAAAATCCTAAAGGTTGCCATAAGCTGTTAACCCATTGTTGTAAGACTGCTCCGATTGCTGAGTCGGATGCGTCTACGGCGATACTAATGGGCGCTTGACTGTCCTGATGAGCAAGCAAGGTTGCTTTAGCGATGTGTTCCTTAACTGTGGAAAATGCTTTACGGGCTATGTCGTCTAAACTAATTGATTTCGCATTTCCACGAAGCTGATCGTTTAACGGTTTGATAAGGGATGCGCATTTGGGTATGAACCGTCTATAGAAACTTACAAGTCCGTTAAAAGTTCGTAAGTGCTTGATCGTGGTCGGTTCTGGGTAATCCAGAATGGCCGCCACTTTGCTCCTAAGGGGTCGGATGCCTTGGGCATCAATGGTGTGTCCTAGGAAGTCTAAGGAGTTTGTTCCGATTTGGCATTTCTGTATGTTGACAGTAATGCCATGCCTTTGGAGTCGATCGAAAACAATGTCCAGATGCTTGAGATGCGATTCTTTGTCCGGACTTGCTATTAGACAGTCATCAACATACGCATGTACGAAGTTGAGACCTCGAAAGACGTCGTCTATAAACCTTTGGAAGGTTTGAGCCGCGTTTCTTAAACCAAAAGGCATTCGTAGAAATTCGTAAAGACCGAAGGGAGTGATGATGGCGGTTTTAGGAATGTCGTCAGTTGCCATCGGGATTTGGTTATAAGCTTTAACCAAGTCGATTTTCGAAAAGACAGTTGTACCTTTCAAGGTAGCTGTCAAATCGTGAATATGAGGCAGCGGGTAACGATCGGGAATGGTTTTAGACATTCAGACGCCGATAATCACCAGTTGGCCGCCAACCATTGCTGTCCTCTTTAGGGATCATGTGCAATGGGGATGCCCATGGACTATTCGATGGTCAAATTATCCCTAGGTCCTTCATATGGTCGAATTCGTTTTTAGCTAACCTAAGCTTTTCGGGAGCGAGTCGACGGTCTTTCGAGAGTACAGGTGGTCCTGTAGTCGATATGTGATGTGTAACGTTGCTGGTTACACAAGACAATTTCGATTGCGATTGATATATCCCGGGGTATTTGTCGAGTACTGATTGGTAAAAGGGGTCTATGGTGTGCTTAATCGTGACTGGGGATAACCTGCAACCAGAAAAAGGAGTTACGCAAACGGACAACTTAGTGTTTCCGTCTATTAACTTCCGTGAGCGTGTGTCGATGAGTAGATTGTGGTGTTGTAACAGGTCTATACCAATGATTGGCATAGAGACATCTGCAATCACGAAAATCCAGTGTATGGGTTTGCGTAAACCCACGTTAAGGTAGACGTACCTTTTACCGTAAGTAGCGATCGGCTTTCCGTTTGCCGCCTGTAAACTTAAAACAGACTCGCGAAGTCTGTCGTCGAGATTTGCTGGAAGAACGCTAACTTCTGCGCCAGTGTCGACGAGGTAGCGAACTTTCGTGGTCACATCCGTGACATATAAGAGGTGGCTGTGTTCGCCGGCTACGGTTGCCGTTAACGCGTGCCGGCTGGGAAGTTTCCCGAACTGTTTTTCGTGTCAGTCGATTTTGAAGTCGGATAATTGCAAGGTTTCCTGCAATTTCTGGAAAACTTACCGTACTGGTTATGATACCAGCACCAGTCGGGATTGTCTGTCTCTCGTGGTCGAGAGCCAGATCGCTTACGTGAGGCGCTTCTACGCGGGGTTTTTGGCCGACTACGGTCATTGCGAACTCTAAGATATCGTGTAAGCGTGTGACATAGTTCGGCCATGTCAGTCGAGGTCGATTGGGGTTTTTCTTTGACGGAAAAAACCTCGGCCTTAGAAGATCTAGTGATTTCCAAGATTCGATCGGCAGATACAGCTAGTTCATCTATGGCATTGTTTTGAAATGAAACAAGCACTGCCTGCACCTGTTGAGGGAGTTTAGACAAGAAAAGTTGTCTAAATAGGCCATCATCGAAAGTTCGTTGGCCGATGACTTCTCTCATTCTAAGCAACATGTCCGTCGCAGAACCATGTTGCAAGTCGATATTGTTAAGGAGTTGGTCTAACCGTTGTCGATCAGTTAGGTCACCTCGTTTTAAAATCGATAGCTTAAGCGTTTCGTAAGGTTCGGGAACATCACTAGTAAACATACTAGGTGTTACGTACCTGTCAAACTCGCGCGGTAACGCCTTAACTACCGCGAGGAAACGTGTGCGCGA